AAAGTACGATTGAAGTTAAAATATGGTAGTAGAATTATTATTACAGAGAAACCCGGGAAATTAATATTTATTTGTTTTGTAGACAATTACCAAGATATTTTGAGTCAAGCCTGGTCTAATAATAAAAACTTGGATGAAAAAGAAAAACGGAGGAAAATTTTGAAAGCTGCTGTAACGATCGTTCGAGAAGATATTCAATATTGTGTGTTTGATAATACGATGTACCACCAGGTAGAATGTTTGAGGATATAAATAACGATATTCCCGAATCGTTGTCATATTTTTTAGAACAAGTAATTCTTAAAGAAAACTTGACCCTGAAAATTGGGGTTGGAAATTAATAAATAATACTCTGGAACCAATTGAAACTTTGCTCCCCCTGCTCCTGAGAAACTCCTTAACACAATTTTTTGCAATTGCAAGAAAGGTTGTAGTGCCAAATGCGGCTGTAGAAAAGTAGGGTTACAGTGTTCACCAATTGCCAAGGTCACTCTTGTTCAAATGTTGAGTTGAGTTCAACAGAGGATGATTCATGTGATGCTGATCAAAAGACAACTGATACATCATTATTTGAACAATTTATGAACATCCGGCAAGAAGAGGTAGAGGAAGAAGACGAAGAAGAAAACGCAGAAGACATGATTGTTGAAGTTAACTATGACGAGTATGAATCAAGATTAAAGTATCAAAAGAAATCAATCTGACAATTAGACTCCATAAACATTATCAACCCGAATAATCTTCATGCAGTTAAATGAGTATTGTGACTAAAAATTACGTAATAACGATTCGTGGAATAGGCCCACTAGGAAAACCATATTAAAAAAAACGCGCCGAGTACACTACCTCACAGGTAGTGTGGAAACGTGTGCATATTACATAAAACGTGACTTTTACAATTGCGATATCTCAGGAACGGTGATACTTATAGAAAAAATCATCAAGACTAATTTTGTAGAGAATTTTGAGATCTACTACTTTGGTCAAAAGTATTTTTTTTGATGAAATTTACGGTTTTCGAGAAAACTCAAAAAACCTGAAATGTTGACCTTTAACCCCGAATAAAATTTGACGCCCGAAGATACGCCCGAAGAAGCTATTGTATGGCGTTTTTGTAAAATTGTTTAGTGAAAATCTCACAATGAAGTGTTTTTTGAATACGTTAGGAAAACATGTATGAAACATAGAGATTGAATGCGTATGAAGTAATTTTTTTTTCTGATTGATTCGACCGTTACACAGTGGCAAAGCTACTGTGTTAGCAAAACATGTCGTGATATATTTTCCAAATGAAGTTTGTGGAGATCAAATCGTGAAGTGTAGTTTATGAAAATAATACAGCAACCACTCAATTTTCCGTTTTTTACTTGGAAGGTGTGCTTTCAAAGATATATGGGTTGGAAACGTTGTCCTCTAGAAAGTTCTAGAGTAGTCAAGCACATTTGAAAATACCTAGGACAAATCCAGCGAAAGCGAATACCTTAAGCAGTTTTTGATTATTGTCGTTCAGTTATACCAATTATTCATAATTAGTCTTAATTTAATGAACTCACCGTATAGCATATTATTTGCCAATGATAATAACTGAGCTATTAGTTATGAGCCAAGTTAACAAATGTGGCTGACAATCCACTTTGTCTGGAACCCCGAGTAAAGTGGTAGGTACCAGGGCAAAGCGAACAAACGAACAAAATATACAATTAAAATTGGAATTCAATTTTGAATCATAATTTTTCTGTTAGACGTCTAATGATTTCAGTTATCACAAACCAAATAACCACTGCCTGAAGGCTGAACACTCAAATATACACAAATATACACACAAATACTACGTTGTATCCAGTTTTCCGTTGGCTGATTATCTTCTTCAATGCACATTTCACCACAGAAAAGACGATATCATCAAATTTCCTTATATTCTTCTGCTTTTCATTATTTTTCCACTTTTTATCGTTTCTTAACAGTCGTCTGAGAAGCTTTGGGAAATATAATCTAGTGCTTTCACAATAGCCTTTTTTACTTTTTCTGCTCTTATCCCTTCACCGGAGTACTGGCCAGTATTGTAGATCTTTGTAACATCCATTAACGTGTTGATATTGGTTTAGCAGGCTGTGGAATAGGTTTTAATACTGAACGACTACAGTAGATCTTAGAACATCCAGGTTCGGTTGAAGCGGAGGGAACATCATTGCCTTAGATTCTCTTTGTAGCTACATATCCTATTGGAGTGCAAGGGAAGTCTTCAATGGTAACATCGTCTTGAGACCTCAAAATTGAAGAACTTTGGCTCTCCGGAGAGACATTGATTCTGGAGTTCTTAGTGTCAAGTGGGTATGACATGATAAAAATCTTTGCAACCATTCTTCTCCAGATATTTTGATTTTATTTCAGCTCTTAGGGTATTGCAAATTGTTGGGTTGTGCATGCTCAAATTCTAGACTCATTAATTCATCCTGAGTAAGGCCGAAAAACAAATCTTGTAAATCTTGTAGGTAAGTCACCGTTTTAATTTCTCAATCCTTCGTGAATATAGGATGGAATTGACCGCATTACATAACATTTCAAAACATATAGAAATATTCTAATTTGTTGTGGTATGTTCAGAAAAATTATGTAGCGTTTGAAAACATTTTGAAACATTTCAGGTCATTGTGCAACATTCCAGAACAAACTAGGATGCTGTGGAAGTTTCTGTAACATTATGGTCCACTCTTAAGATTTTTGGTATAGGCGGCGTTGTGTAAACATAATATAACTTAGATCACATTTCCATCTCGAATATTACATAAAAAATGTAATGAACATATTTGGTATGGTGACCAGCATTACATCACCATCATGAACAATATGCAAATTTCTACACATAGCATGCACTTATATCACCTAACCAAAGTTTAAGTATTTTGAAATGTTTACAATTATCTGTACTGTAAGATACTGCTTTTCTCTCAAGAGATTTATTTATTTATTTTCCAGAGTTCATGATTTTATATTTGGTAACCAGTATTGCTGAAGAAAACGAAAGGAAATTTGAAGCCTCACCTAGGTTGAACTACATTCTCTTCTGTGATGAACCTTTGCGTCTCAATGAACGGGGCAATGACCTTCTGGAATATTTTTCTGTTGCAAAAGCAGATCGATATACATTTTGTTTCTCTTTTCGTCTGTCTAATTTTGTTTTTGTAACTGCAGTGTTACTTGTTTCTAGTGAATGTAGCTGCTTGGTTATCAATTAGACTTCGAATTCAGTATATTCATGATCATTCTTATTTTTCTTCACTCGAAACCTCAATACCACTCTGTCAAAAAAACTTTCTCATAGTCAGTGTTGAGAAAATAAATTTCAATCATTCGAAAAGAAATTCAAAAGTAATTGAAATTGCAATGACAAAACAATTAAGATATAATTATCAGTAAGTACCATTGTTGTCGACACATGAAATACGTTCATGGTACTTCGTTTTCAGAGTAAACCATGACAATCTTTCTTGTGTATCGAATACTGACAATATTTTTGAACTCCATAAAATAACTGATCCTGGTGGCTTTCAAGATTTTGCCATGCATATCAGAAATTCGACTATAGATGCCAGGCAGCGCTTCAAAATATTTACAGCAAAATTATGGAAAGTGTAGAGACTCCAACGTCTTCAAGCCTTTGTCATCGAATTGAATGAAAAACAAAAATCCTGAAGTCTCCTGAACATATTTCAATAGATCCACCTCGCGCATTCAAATATCTGGGTTGTTCTTTGTAACTGCTACAAGAATATAAAAAAAACGTTGAAGTTGGCAATGAATAAAAGAAAGTGATAACGGAAGTGTGATGAGTGGAAGTGTGTATACAGTGTGTCTCACTTTTCATGGAAGCACCCCTGTAATTATTATCAAGATACAATGATAAAATTCCCAAGATTGATGAAAA